TTATTTTATTTTATTTTATTTTATTTTATTTTATTTTATTTTATTTTATTTTATTTTATTTTCACTTCGTTTTTCTAGGTATTATTCAGCATACAGATACTGAGTGATATTCTTCATCCAGAAAAAAAATAACGCCTTCCCCCTCCCCAATAGATTAGTTAAAGGAGAAGAAAGCACAAATAACAAAAATGAAAAACTACTAGTAGCTTATAACTTAATGCCCCGTTGTTGCAGTGATGAGAGAAAGGGAGCCTCTAATTTTTGTTTAATTAGTTTTTTTTTTAATTGAATGGAATAGTTTTTAACTAGATCCATGCAATATATACAATTATCTTATTCTTTATGGAGACAGCTAGCTGTGTTTAAGCTGTCTGCAGAACTCTAGTTGGCAGGATGCCTGCACTGAAGCGTGGTTGGGGAAATGTATGAAAATAGGTAATAATGACTTGAAAATCCATATGATGTTTCTCATTTGGTACAATAACTACAAAATAGGTCTTTATTTCAATTACTGAGTACATCATTTATGTTATGTTTTGCAGAAACACAAATGGAAACACTTCTGTGATTTGTTTCATCCTATATGTCAATGGTGATGGTATTACTCATTGTTTAAAAGTTTTGTTTTATAGTTTGTTTTGCTCTGTTTTAAAGTAAGTGTAGTAATACGGCATGGAAGAAAGTATCAGATGAGATGCAAATTCTGTTATTTACAGAGATAAATGTGTACATTTCTATTGGGCAACCACTCCATGAACTCTTACCTAAACCACAAATATGGTCCTTCTGAATGTATGCAGATTTTTTTTTTCCCAATAGGCATGGCAGCGAGAAAAAAAAATTAAGTCAATGCAGTTAGTCTATATAGATTGGTATAAGAACCAAAGCCTTGGCAAGAGAGGAACTTTTTCAAAGTCCCTCAAATTACTTTGCTAAAGCCGACCAAACGACTTCATGGATCAGTTTGTCCTCCTTTCCCAGCAGTATCTACTATTTGAGCAAAGTGTTCTGCTCTCCATGAATCTTATCTCTCTGAAAACTTCAGTGAATTCTCAGTGAGAACATCTATTTAACTGACGTAAACTACGTATCACTGGCCTGGTTAAGAAATGGAGAGCTGACCAGTTGTCTGCAACCTGTTTGCCCCAGAATGGGATGCTAGGAGGCCCTATATGTTTGCATTAAAAGAACCTTGCATTGACAAGTGAAAAGGTGAGAATCAACCAATATCATCAAAATCATAAGCAAATGCTATCAAATAAAAACAATAAAAAATAAAAAAAAAACCTCAACTGGTCTCTTCTGGAAAGCAGAGGAAGGATTGTATTGGGCAGCATTGTAGGACTCTCTCTTGCTCGCTCTTGCACAAAACCTGGAGGAATATTCCGAACATCATGAAGAGTGGCTGTTTCTCCCAGCAATTGGCCTGGGTTTCTTGTACTGCTCCAAACACTGCATGGGTGAATCTTCCTGCTGAGTAACTTTTAGGAAATGACATMAAGAAGGTCACCTAGTAGACTATGTGCCTTCCCCTCCAC